AAGCAGCGTAGGTAGGTTTCCACACACCTGTTCACGACCTCTGTCTGCCCATCACTTTGCAGGTGACAAGTCGTACTATGGTTCAACCGAGTTCCTTGTAGCCGCCATAGTTCCTTCCAAAAATTGCGAAGGAATACTTTGCCTGATCCGACACAATTGATTTCGCTATTCCGTGTAACCTCACAACTTCCTTCACAACACCCAAGCAATGGTTTGGGCTGTAAAAGGGTGTCAGCCCTATAAAGTGGCTGTACTTGGTTAATCGACAACTACGACCAATAAGGCGTTTTATCCTTCGACCTGGATGAAGGACCGGAAATGGGCGATGCTGGATGAAGGACCGGAAATAACCTTTCCGGATTCCAACTGCTCCCGCACCGATTTCCATTTATGCTCCTTATTAAGTTCTCCATTTACCATGCCGAGATCAAGCTGTTGTACTGTAAGTCTGCAACTAGTCCCCTCAATACAGCTTGATGGTTAATTCTTGATAACGCAACTGCGGCCACATTTTCTTTTCCCGGTTTAAATTTGGACAGAGAAATCGAACCCGATCAGTTTCGTCATCCAACGTTGGTATTCCGGCGCTACTTCCCGCTGCTCTAACAACTTCAGGCTTTTTTGATTAGTTTTTACCATAAACTTTCTGCCCATCAAGTAATGCTTCCATTTTCGAACTGCGAGCACTATAGCCATCAGCTCCCGCTCGTATACGGAATGTAATTGAGTTCTATCTGGTAGTGCTTGGCTAAAGAATGCCAAGGGGCGCTGAGTGGCACCCACACTCATGCCTGATGCATCGGTTTCGACTATGAACTCTTGCTGAAAATCCAGTAATGCTAAGACCAGTAACTTGGTCATAGCTTCTTTCAGCTGTTGGAAAAGCAGCCTCCTCTTCAGGGCAGCACTCAAGCTCAAATCCTCCATTTTATAACAATTAAGGGTCTTGCCATACTGTCGTACCTGTTTACAAAGCGTCGGTAGTACCCTGTTAACCCCAAAAAACCCCTTAATTTCTTAAGATTTCGTGCAGACGGCCATTCCAACCATAGCTTGAATTTTTCCAAACTCTGCCTCGATTCTGTCACACGACATTATATGCTAAAATACTCCACTCTGGGCTGTCCAAAAGTGCATTTTTTTTGTTTTTGCGACCAACTGCTTGTCTCATAGTGTTTGTAGTACAATGGTGAGGTGTTGACAGTGTTCTTCTTGGTCACGACTGTAAACCAATATATCGTCAAAGAATACGAGCACAAACTTCCACAAGTACAACCGGAATATGTCATTCATGATAGCTTGGAAGGTTGCTGGGGCATTGGTGAGTCCAAAGGGCATTACGAGAAGTGGGTTCGGAACGCCTTTTCCTACATCTTTCTCTTTCATGCTTATTTGGTGATAGCCGGACTTGAAGTCCAATTTTGAAAAAATGTGAGCCCCGTGCAACTCATTGATTAGCTCATCAACTAGAGGTATTGGAAACTTGTTGGCCATCATGACGCGGTTGAGGGCCCGGTAAACAATGCAAAACCTCCAACTCCCATCTTTTTTAACTAACAATACCGGACTCGCGTGGGGACTATTGCTCGGTCAAATTTCTTGAGCAGCTAGCATTTCTCTAATCAATCCCTCAATTTCATTTTTCTGTTCGTAGGAATAACGATACAGTCAAACACATATTGGGGGTGTATTCGATTGTAGTGGAATGGAGTGGTCCTGATTACATTCAGGGGGTAGTGTGAGTAACAGTTGAAAGACATCACTGAAAGTCCCTAAGACATCCTCCCACTGTCCCGTTGCTTCAATCCCAACTTCATGACTACTTTCCTGCATATGGTATAAGTCTAACAACATCAACTCTCCCTCCCCCCCAAACATTTAATCAACGATCTTAGAGCTATTGCCGACTTGTTCAAATCAGGTTCCCTTGTACAGTTACCTTTTTCTGTTCACCCTGAAATCCATTCTATGTGCTCTCCAATCGACTTTCATCTTGCCCAAGGTCTCGAGCCACTGCATTCCAAGGATTGCATCCGTACTTCCCAATTTGAGAGGTAGGAAACCAGTCTGTACTATGATTTCTGATAAAAACAACTCCACATTTCTGCAAACAACATTTCCTCAGATAACCCGCCCGGTTCCCACCATAACACCGAAGGTGGTAGTCCCGTCTATGGCGAGTTGGAGTCGCTCCAATTTTCCCTTTGAAACAAAGTTGTGGGAAGCCCCACAGTCTATCAATACAATCACCTCCATGCTATTGATGTAGCCCCTAAGTCTCATGGTTTTAGGCAACGTTAACCCAACCACAGAGTTCAACGACAATTCAGCATCCTGGAGCACTGAGTTAGCCCCGTTTTCGTTGTCTTCCGACACAATCTCAGTCTCTTCTTCTTCTTCTTCTTCGGAAGGGTCATCCTATAGCAACAAAACCGACAGCTCCTTCCTCTTACATTTGTGACCCACCTTATATTTTTCATGTCGGGTGTGACTTTAATTCTGGTAGACAGCTGGTTGCTAGTTCTGTTATTCTGTTATTTCTTTCCTGTTTAGCCTATAAATAAGTGGGGCTAATCATTTGTAATCTCGGTTCATTTTCATCTAATAAAATTCTCTCAAAGATTTCTAGTAATTTCCTAACAAATTGTTAATTGTTATCAGAGCGTGGTTATGATTGACACGCATCTGTTGGTTCTCGAAATTCTGTTCTTGCTTCTGCGATTGATCAAGGCAATCTGATTTTTGGAATTGCTTCTTCCGATTGCAATCTTGGCAATCAATTTCGTCAATCTTGAAGTCCGATTCAAGGTAATGGAATTCAAGGTGGAACGTATCTGAAATTAGCGATCGATTGGTAACTGGCAATTGAAATTGGTGACCGATTGGTGACTGGCGACTGTAATTGGTGATCGATTGGCGACTGGTGTTCGATTCTAGGTGGAGGGGGACTGGAATTGGTGATCGACTAAGGGTGTAGAACGATCAGAATTGGTTTTTTTTATCTCCTTTGCGATCAGGTTATTGGGTAGAAAACTCCCAATCTGGTGATCGTTTTCTGGTGTTAAAACACACTTTCTTGAAGATCTTTCTTGCCTCGATTCATTCAAGAATTTAAGGATGCCTCCACAAATGATCAAGATCGACAAGTTTACCGGGAAGAATAATTTCAGCTTATGGCGAATTAAGATGAGAGCTCTCCTAAAACAACAAGGAATTTGGACTCCCTTGGTTGGTGAGGATGCTGCCCCCATTTTATTGGTTTCATTGCCACCCTCATACGAAAATTTTGTCAACTCATTTGTAGTTGGAAGGGACACAATTACTTTGGAAGAAGTTCGATCAAGTTTGCATTCACAAAAATTACGCCATAAAGCTTCTGGAAATGGAACTGAAAGCCAATCTGTTGGCTTGTCAGTGGTAAATGAAGGTAGAGAAAAGGGTTGAGAGAAAGGTAAAGGCAAGTGTTAAGGAAGAACTCTATCAAGATCTAAGGGTCGAGAATCGAAAGCAAGCCCGAAAGATGTATGTCACAGATGTGGTGATCTTGGACATTGGAAAATGAATGTCCGAAACGAAATGAGAAGGCATCCGCTGTTGTTGGTAAAGATGATTCAGGTTCAGACGCTGATATGGTTCTTTCAGTAGTTGACTCTAAAAGTCAGCAAGATGAATGGATTCTTGACTCCAGGTGTTCGTTTCACATGACACCGAATAAGGCCTGCTTCGATACTTATGAAAGGTTGCAACAGGAAGTGTTTTAATAGGGAACAATGTTCCGTGTAATGTTGCTGGAATAGGTACGGTAAGTATCAAAATGCACGACGATGTAGTAAGAACTGTGGCTGATGTTCATCATGTACCTGATTTGAAAAAGAATTTGGTTTCCTTAGGAGCCTTAGATTCCAAAGGTTTCAAGTACAGTTGTGAAAAAGGGGTACTTCGGGTCTCTAAAGGTGCATTAGTGGTGAGGAAAGAAGTCAAGAAAGGTACCTTGTATGTGCTTGAAGGCAACACGGTTGTTGGGTCAGCATCACCAACCTTTAGTTCTGATAAAAACGAGTCAGATTTGACACTCTTGTGGCACATGAGGCTGAGGCATGCCAGTGAGAAAGGCATGCTCATGCTCAGCAACCAAGGACTTCTTGGAGGTCATAAAGTTGTTGAACTAGGCTTTTGTGAGCATTGCATCTTTGGAAAACAAAGGAGAGTGAGTTTTTCAAAGGCTGTCCATACTACCAAGTCTACTTTGGACTATCTACATGCTGATTGTTGGGGTCCTTCACAGGTTCTCTTGGTGGTGGCCATTAATTCTTCTCAATCGTTGACGATTACTCTAGGATGACTTGGATGTTTATCATGAAACTTAAGGGTGAGTCGTCTGAGAAGTTCAAAGATTGGAAGGTTCTCATTGAAAATCAAGTTGCGAAGAAGATAAAGAGGCTACTAACTGATAACAGTTTGGAATTTTGTTCTAATGAGTTTGACCGGTTTTGTAAAGATGAAGGGATTGCAAGGCACCGAATGGTTAGTGGCCGAAAGGATGAATAAAACACTGCTAGAAAGGGTCAAATGTTGCTGTCAAATGCAGGGCTGTCTAGAGGTTCTTGCGCTGAGGCGTTAAACACGGTTTGTTACTCGGTGAATAGGTCTCCAGCAACAGCAATTGTAAAACCCCTATTGAAATGTCGTCCGAGCAGATTACACGAACTTACGGATGTTTGGTTGTCCTTCATACTACCATGTGAGTGAAGGAAAGTTGGAAGTTGGAACCAAGATCAAAGAAGGGGTTGTTTATGGGATATGGTGCTGGAGTAAAAGGGTATATAATCTGGTCACTTAATGAAAGAAAGGTGATTCTCAGCCATGATGTAATATTTGATGAAGAAAGTACGTTGCACGGCGTGTGGTATTCGTCTACTTCATCTACTTCAAAAACCAAGAAGAGAGGGTCTCCGAACAGGTGGAGTATGAGTTAAATGATTCTGATGAGGGTGAGAATGTTTTTGGACAGCGCAGTAACATGACTCAAACAAGACTTGTTGAGTCCGAAAGTCGGCACCAGCCTATGGAAATTCGGTCCATAGCGTTAGACAAGCCTCGAAGACAAGTTGGTAGGCCGATTCGGTATGGTTTTGATGACATGGTGGCCTATGCGTTACAAGTTACTGAAGAATTGGAGTTCTTTGAGCCGTCTACTTATAGAGAAGCAATCACAACAAAGGAGGTTGATGTGTTGGTAACATCCATGAGTGAAGAAATGGAGTCCCTTCACAAAAATAGGACCTGGAAATTGGTGAAATTACCTCAAGGCAGAAAAGTCGTGACCTGTAAGTGGATTTTTAAGCGGAAAGAAGGGCTGCCAGGAGCTGAAAATGTAAGATTTAAGGCTCGTTTGGTGGCTAGAGGTTATAGCCAAGAGCAAGGGGTTGATTATAATGAAATCTTCTCGCCGGTGGTGCGTCATCCATCCGAGTGTTGTTGGCACTAGTAGCACAACAAAATTTGGAGTTGGAACAGTTGGATGTTAAAACAACTTTCTTGCATGGAGATCTTGAAGAAGAAATTTATGAGTCAACCGGAGGGATTTGTGGTTCAAGGAAAAGAAGGTTATGTTGTAAGCTCAAGAAATCGCTTTACAGGTTGAATCAATCTCCAAGGCAGTGGTATAAACGATTTGACAGCTTTATGGTGAAACATGGTTTTAATCAAAGCCCTTATATTGTTACATATGTCATAAGAAAGTAGCTGATGGTTCACGTGTGTATTTTCTACTTTATGTGGATGATATGTTGGTAGCAGCTCAAGATAAGGCTGAAATTAAGAGGTTGAAACAACTCCTTAATTCTGAGTTTGATATGAAAGATTTGAGGGTTGCTCAAAAGATACTAGGATGGAAATAGTTCGAGACAGATCTTGGCGTAAACTTTTCTTGTCACAGAAAAGTTACATTTTTTAAGATACTTTCTCGGTTTGGTATGGCTTCAGTAAAGCCTTAGAGCACTCCATCATCTACAAATTCAGGTTGTCGGTGGCTTTGGCTCCTCAAACAGAAGTTGAAGTGAAGATCGATGACAGCCCAGCTGATGCACTTACTAAACCTGTTTCTTTAAACAAGTTCAGACATTGTTTAGATCTTCTAAACATTGATAGCTGGAAGTAGAATTTTTCTGTTTTTTACTTTAGAAGAATTAAAGTCAAGGTGGAGATTTGTCGGGTGTGACTTTAATTCTGGTAGACAGCTGGTTGCTATTCTGTTAGCCGGATATTTCTTTCCTGTTTAGCCTATAAATAAGCAGGGCTACTCATTTGTAATCCTCTGTTCATTTTCATCTAATAAAATTCTCTGCCTCACGCATCTAAATTCTCTCAAAGATTTCTAGTAATTTCCTAACATTTCATCACAGCGCAAACAGAGGACTCAGGCTCGTTTATCCTGAAGTCCATCATCTGTCAATCACCTAGTAGTTTCCAGATTGATTGGTACTGTAAGGGGTCCTGTACTATTTGTAAATGTAGGAATACTAGGGGATGTATTTTTTTGTGCATTAACCTGAAGTTCAAATTGTTGGTTTGTACCCACTGCTGAGAGACTTGTACGCTCCAGTTAAATGACTATTCCTGTCCTCAACGAGTTGGGCTGTCTCCATCACCTTTAGTAAGCCTTCGGGTCGTATCAGGCGTACTTTAATATGTGGTTTTAAGCCATTGATGAAATTTCCTTCCGAAACCTTCTCAGAGAGATCTCCAAGTGACGACAACAAAATTTCAAATGAATGACGGTACTCTCTTATCGTTCCTTCCTGACGGAATGCTAACAGCTGCCCCTAAGCCGATCCCCTTAACGCTATCTTAATCTATTAATCAACAGTCCCTTCAATTCCGCCCATAGTGTAATCCAACAATGGTTGTCAGTCCACTGAAACAAAGCAAGGGCCTCCCCTTCCATATAGATTCCCGCCGTTGCCACCTTCTCAGTTTCCTCAAATCGCTGCAAGGAAAAATACCTTTCAGCTCGAAATATCCATCCATCAGGATCATCCCCGTTAATCATGGGCAATTCAATCCTCCTCAATCTCCAATCTGCCGCATACATCCCATTAGTGGTGGATTTTGGGCCTCCGCCTCCTCCAAACGGCATCACCAACGTTTTCGACGATTCCCCACTTGTTTGCGTCTTTCCCTGCGTTTCCGATGCTATAGTCTGGGCCGTCATCAGTTACGGCTCTGACCAAAGTGCATTTGGTGTTCCTTGAGGCCCAATCGACTCCAACTTCATCATTAGCGCCTGAATTCCACATTGCAGGCTATCCATCCGCTTTGCATTTCCTACGTCCTGATTACAGATCATCTGGACGCTAAGATTCAAGGATTGTAGGGTCGTATCTACCATCTCCTATTTACTTCCTGTCACCGGCACCATTTTCTACAAGGAATCGATCCTTTCACCTTGATTTTTGGGAGCCATGGTTGCCAGGGTCACGACTCTGATACCAAATTGGTAAGTGCCGAAGGATTTGGTATTGAATTGCAATCGAAAGTGACAATTACAGAGAGATATCCTGGATTTCGAGAGCCAGGTTCTCTCCCAAATGTCAAAGACTCGCTAAAAATGACGTGTCCCACTCTTACCCCCACTATCTTCTTTTATACTCACTTCTAACCACCTTTAGAAAAAGACCCACTCATCCTTTTCCCTATAATAGACAACGCATACACGTTTATTATAGGTGGCTTATCAATATTTGAAAAGTAGAAAATAACACATTTAGTAAATATTAAACAAAAACATTAAGAAATGATAACAAGGTAGGTAGCAGAACAAAAACATTGTGTGCGTTCTTTAAACTCCACCACACAGCATGGGTTAAAACTTTGGGAAGTGCGGTTTGTGGTTTTTGAATTATGAAACTGCACCCCTACTAACATGGTTCAGCATTTAGGGATGTAAAGACGCAAATGAAATGTGAGATAATGGCCTCACACTGAAATTAATATGCAGTATGGAATGACAACACTAAAACGACCAATCAATCATGAACATTTGAATTCAAGGAAGTTAAAACAGAAGTCTAACTTATCATAGTTGTGCCCAACACAAGACTTGCATTGCCAAACCTTTAAGGTTAATTAGGATATTAAAATACAAGAAAATAAAATATTAATAAACATGGTTAAGGTTACACATTAATAAACATGTCTCAAAATAAACTACCCAGCAACATATATAAGCAAAGGGTTGTACAAAAGTTTCAGCTGAAACTATAATTATAGAAAGTTAAACAATCCTGTGTCAATTACAATCCCTTATGATTTGTCAACCCCATTCCCCACCCCGCCTCCCTCAAAAATAAGTTTTTTTCTTAAAAAATGTCGCACCAAATGATCAGTGACTATGCCACAGATGTCGAGAAAAATCATGAGTGAAAATAATTTCAGTCAGCAATAAAGCAAAGTCAAATTTCACTATTCATGGATTTCTATAAAATTATTTAAAATTTGACAATTGCCAAGATATGGTATCTAAGAAAGAAATACCTGACGATGCACATATATCCACAAGTCTTGGAAGTATAATTTCTGGATCTCTCATCTCCATGCAATTAAACAGCAGAATCTGAAAGATAAAATGGCATTACATAAGCAGCTGTCTCATTAGTCCCACATTCAAGATACATAACATACAAGCAAAATCTGAGATGATTATGGGATTAATATAACCAAATATGCAATCAGAATAGGTGAAATGAGAAAGCAAAGGAAGCCATTAAATTACCCTTTTTGGTATTGTTTCGGATTCATCTTGTCCATTTGAATGTTGAATGCAACCATTGCTGCAAACTTCTTCCATGTTTCCAACCCCAGAAAATGATGACCATGGTCTATGAATCTTTTCATTGACAACATTAGAAAACCATTTGGCACAAGCATCTATGCTCTCAGGACTATGAGCTCCATCCAAGTAGAAGATCAACTCCCCAGAACAACTTTCATTGTCTCCTATCTGATTACTTGAGCCCAAATAAGAGTCGTGAACTATTTGAGCCCTTCCAGAAAGATGTGCAGTTGAAAGACCTCTTAAAAATGCCTTTGGTAGAGTATCGTCTGCGGAATCCTGAGTTGACACTCGATATTTGTTAAATTTAAATAATGCATCAACAAAGAGGGTTGGGTTCCCATGAGAACGAATTTTTTGGTGAGAACAAAACCTTCATCTACCTTCATTTGCTTTAAACTACCTTCATTTATCTATTTCTATCACCACGACTGAAATAAAAAATTCATGAATATGGAAGTAATTGAAGGTAAACATAAAGGTGAAGATGAAGGTCCATGTTTTCCGTCAGCTATCAACTGAAGGTAGTTGAAGGTCCGTGTTCTTTTAATCGTCAGATCAAAAATCAACTCATCCAAAGGCTCAGAAATGTTCTCACCATTCTCACAGAAACTCTTATTCTCACACGATCTCACGTCCAAGAAAGAGAAGTGTAAAGGTACCGTATGTTAGAACTCACATTTTGGGACAGCTTTTCCCAGTTTCCTTTAGTATTGAGCCAACTTTTACAAAGAGAAACAGCAAGGCCAGCATTCACAAGTTGGTGATCGCCAGATAGACTTAGCTTCACCCCATTCAATCTCTGGTATGTAAGTGGTGCTATTACTTGCAATGGAACCTTCATTGGTAGAACGATAAATTTCAATACAACAAACAATTGTATACTCTGTATATTGTATATATTTGTCCATTACAATCGCAACTATTATGAAAAAATATTAGTTTTCTTTTATAGTTTCCTGGTTCAATTTTGTTTTAGGACTCGAGAATGTTTTGTGGTCTTGTGTATGTTGATCAGCGTGATCCGCTACCATAATAATAAAGTAATTTATCATTTCTTGTGTGTGAGCTTGATTCTTAATACTGATCATAAACTTAATAACTACCTTCTTTATGTTTTCTAGTGAAATAACTGTTAAGCAATTTTAGGTTATATAGTGAATAACCATACAAGCCAACTTAACAAAAAACAAATCCCTAAGAAAATTAAATTTGCGATCGAGAAATAATATATGACATCAGGATTGATTATTTGTTACAAAAGAAGTAAATTATATAGGCAGTATTCTATCATGGATCATATGATCCATTAGGTTTTTTAGCCTGCACTTCAACAGTCAAGTGAGATTAAAAGGACAAGAATGATGACATGTGTAAAGAAATCCTTTGGTTTTCAGATCATAGTAATCACATTTGTAACAGAGAGAATACTAGCACTATAACTTTGCACCAAGTGATATTATCTCGAGACAAGTAGAGCCATTTTGCTACCAAGGTACTTCTGGATGCTAGAAACTTTTTAAGGCAGACCTACCACATGGTATGCCCCTTAAAGACAGAGAGAAAGATAAAGAGTACCTCCAATTCATGCGCCCTCTGCTTAAGAACATCCATTGCTTCGGGAAGTTGAGGTACGGTGAATGCAGGAACTTGAGGCTTCAAAGAAGGGACACCAAACCAGTTCAGACACTACTTTTTTTCTTCCAAATATTTTAACCAGAAGTTCGGTAACAAATAGAAAACTAAAAGAAACTCGTACTGGAGAAGTTTTAATGTACGTAAATTGTTTGTACCTTAAATATCCCCGCTTTATGCAAAGCAATTTTTTCCAGGGTGTCCCCTACAGATCATTATATCGGCAATCACCGTCATTTAGAAACATAAAAAGGAACCCATATTTTAGAAATCTATAACATCCATGCAGCATGAAAACTATATGAGAGAGAAAGAGGGGGAAGAAAACTCAACATGCTGAGTTGATGATATATTCACAAACAAATGAAGTACTAACCAGTATATCTGACTCGTAACGAGTAAAGCAATAGCCAATAAGGTAGAAAAGAATATTAATAATTAAAACCAAAACCTGTAAAAAGACAGTAATTCATGAAGAGAACTCACCTAGAATTTCTGTGTGATCAAAGCCAAGAGAAGTAATGCCACACACTACAGGGTCTTGGATCTGCAGGGTTTCAATAACATCCACAATGTAGGATCAAAATTGGTTTATTTTACAACACTACATTAATATAAAGTAGCACTCCACTGACAACTGTGATATTTTCTAATAGTTGGAACTACAACTAGCACCATAGAAAGATAGCACTAGTAAAAAACACAGGATATTTTTACTAAAATCTAATTTTTGCTTGAAACTAAAGATCTGGTGATAGAAACCTAAGGACCCCTGATTAAAAATAAATTAATGATAAGTACAAATAAGAAGTTGAACTTTAGGGGTAATTTTGGATGGAAAACTAAAAGATGGAAGTTAAAGCAACAGTATTAGGCGAATTCATTTTCCCAGTCCTCAACTATGTACAGAAAGGTTGTTGGACTTTCTTCCCTCAACCCCTTTCTTTCATGTTTTCAAGGCAGAGATGATCAATCCAATTGACATGCCAATGAAGTTCTTGTATATGCCCATTGATGGGACAAAATCGACATGCCAATGAAACATGAGGATTCTTACTAAAGAATCCTTGACAAGTCAGTGCTCTCATCTTTTTAAGGAGATAGAGAAAATAACAAGGAGTCCTAAACTTCCATTGTCATCATGCCCAGAAACCATGAAACCTTAACTACAAATAAGAGAGCACCTACCACATAAGAAATAAGCATTACATGCCTACAAGCATGTACATACACTCTCTCAATTAGCACACCGTATTTTGTTGAGCCCCACTTAAAATGAAGTATTGATGATTGACAAACTCGTATTTAAACACGTGGTCATTATTTGGGTTAGCTTGTACTTTGTGTTAACAAGTGACACTGCTGCGGATGAGAATTAGCCGCTGTCACTGAAGAATATATGAAGAAGTCTTCAGTGAATATGGAAGATCTGATGTATCAGCAGTTGAACCACAATGCTCAATCCATAAGTGGGTCTTGAAGAACTTCCAGTGCCACTGACAATCGGGTAGTTGGTAAGTTTGTTCCCCCAGGCACTGACAAAGATCAACTGACAATTCTCTTTTGTCCTCTTCCTAGGAGAAAGAAAAGTCAAAAGGTACTCTTTCATGTTACTTTTTGTCTGCAGAAGAGCCATACATGCTGTCATGAAATGTTAATCTCCCGTGTTACTTTTCTTGGAGCATTTAATAAAGAGCGGCTAGCATTTAATGAAGCACAGGGCTGCCTGAGCTTATCCAAAAAACATGTGCAGAAATCGAAAGCTGAAAATGGCAAAATTATAGAAAGGATATATCTTCAAAAAATTCATAAGGATTAATATGTCCTTTCCCAAGACCCTCTACCCAAGGATTTCGTATATATAAATAAAAGTGACATAATTGACTGCATTGATCTCGGTAGCTACGCCACCAATCCACATATGATGTGTGAACAATGAAGAGTTCGACCCAATGCTTTATTTCTGTCCTAGTTGGCTAAACCTATTGATGGTAGAGGTGAAATTTCATCGCTAAACTATAAGATAAGTAAGCCTCTCACCAATGTTTGCGTTACTCAAGCCGACATTCTCGCTAAGGTAATGAAGATCAAGTGTGTGAAAACAAGACTTATAGAGAATATCCCTCTATGTTTTCTAAAGACTTCTAGAGAATATCCCTCTATGTTTTCTAAAGACTTCTAGAGAATATCCCTCTACGTTTTCTAACAACCAAAGTATATGCTCTTATCGTTCTAAGTCCTCACGACTACCATATTCTATGGATAGAACATCTCATAGATTGTGAATGTTACTGTAATAATTGGATGGAACATCAAATAAAACATCTGTCATTTTTCAGTAACAGAAACATAAAAAAGATGTTTTTTAATAATGAAAACAAAAATAATTTTTGTTGTTTTTACTAATAGAAAGACCACCAAAAGCCTTTGTGGCACTAGCAGTAAAATGCATTAACATACAACGAACTTTGGTCTAGTTTTTATTTAGTGTATCAGACTTCTTTTTCTCGATCAATGTAACAAATTTCCATCTTTTCATATTCTGTACATATTCTGACCAGTAACCTGATAATTTGGTAACATTCATTGACGTGGATGCCATGTTCTCAAAAACTTGTTACATGGATTGCCTATTTGTCAAATTTCTTTTATATAATTTTTTTATTACTAAAAACAAGATTTCCCTCTTAATTTTATTAAACTTTTAAAGACCCTCACTTTTTACCCTCCCCGATTTTTGCATTACACTCCCCTTCCCCTCCTGTTCGTGTTCTCTCCTTCAGCGGCGACTCTATTCTTCTACGGTGAATTTCACCATTCTTCCACCCCCACCCCATTGTTGCCTGTTTTCTTGTTTCCAAAGGTGAAGCTCAAAAGCATAGCTAACACAACTTTCTCCACGTCTTTAACATCCAATCATCCTTCCATCCCAAATTTCCCAGTTCACAATCGCAACAAAACCCAAATAACATAATATTATAAAATACAAGAATTCTATACCCTTTATCAAGTTCTAGCGAGTGGGTATGAAGATTTTATTGTAATATTGAGTTCTAACTTCCCATATTTTCTAGTTATTTAGTTGATTGAAATGGTGGAGAATTCAACCACAGCTAAATGAAACAAAAACCCAAGACCTTCATCCCTCCATCTTCATCAAAACATAAACGTTGAAGGCGAGGGGCCGAGGGGGTTAATTAAAAACCGTTGAATCCTAATTTGGCCGGCTGGTGCATTCGGTGGTTACATTCTTGTGATTATCTAGTTGTAGGAGATAGCTTAAAAGTAGTTTAGTTGTTCCTATTTTCGTGGAAGTTAGTTCATTTCTATTTTGTGTGTATATATTTCTGCTTTTTATATTTGAAGAGATAATAGAAAAAGAGGAGAAATCAAGTAATATGATTTCTGCCGGTTTTACTCTCAAGATGGTATCAGAGCAAATCTGATCCACCACTTGTTCATCACCTGATCGTTAAATACGGGAGAATAGCCATGACGAGTGAAGCCCAAGGCAGAAGCTCCACCGAGAGTTCTCAACAGACATCCATGTCGAATACAACACCCACTCTAATCGAATGTGGAAACATTCCGATTACCCAGCACAAACTTGCCGACCACAACTACAATCAATGGTCATGCTCAGTGATGATGTTTACAAGCAGAAAAGGAAAAGAAGATTACCTAACCGGAGCTATTTCTATTCCACAAACAGATAATCCCAACAGACTTGGGAAACTGAAAACAACACGGTAATGTCTTGGTTATTGAGTTCTATGACCAATGAAACTGGTGAGAACTTTATGTACTACAAGACGACCAAAGAGATATGGGATGCAGCCCGTGACACTTACTCCAACAAACAATGCCTCAGCGATCTTTGAAATCAAAAGTGTTCTACATGATCTACGACAGGAAGAACAAACTGTTACAAAGTACAACTTACTGAGTCGTTTTTGGCAGCAACTGGATGTTTTGGAGGATCTATCGTGGGGTTGCACACTCAGAAGCAGTACAAGGAAATTCAAGAAAAAGATCGGTTCTACAAGTTTTTATTGGGGTTAAATCATAACCTTGATAAAGTTTGTCGGAGAATTCTAAGCTGGAAACCATTGCCGAACGTAAAATAGGCTTTCTCGGAAGTCAGACGGGAAGAAACTCGATAAAAGGTAATGTTGAGACCTCCAAACACTCAACTAACTTCTGAGAATTCAGCTCTTGCAGCAAGGCGAAGCAACCAAAGTACCAAACAGCAGCAAGGGACAAACTACAACAGCAATCCTGATGGTCAGCAATCTGGAAATCGTCCTTAGTGTGATCACTGCAAGATCTCTGGTCACACGAAGGACATATGCTGGAAAATACACGGAAAACCCGAAGGGAGGCAGGTATTTCGATCATCTGGCCATGTTGCGGCCATGGAAAACAGTCCATTCACTAAGGAACAATCTGAGGCTCTTCAAAAGATGCTACAAGCGACCTTCCAGTCAGTACTTAGAGGAAAGAGTGTGGCAGCGGTTGCCCAAAGTGACCATCCGCCTACCGCATTAAACGCTTGACTAAGTGCAGAAAATTGGATCGTTGACTCCGGAGCAACAGATTACATGACTGGGAATGCCAGTATGTTCGAAAATATGCAACCTAACAGTGCTGGTGTTAAAATCCGGACAGCAGATAGTCTCCTATCGGAAGCAAAGGGTATCAGTTCCATTATAATTTCAAAGGACATTATCCTCAACTCCTTTCTTTATGTTCCCAATATTTCTTACAATTTATTGTCTATGATTAAGTTAATGGAAGACTTAAATTGTACTGCTAAGATGACTTGTACCTTATGTGAATTTCAGGACTCAAACTCGAGGAGGACGATTGGCAGTGCTAAAGTGCGTGAAGACCTCTTCTTTCTGAACCTGAGTTTGTCTTAAAGCCTTCATCGTCTTCGTGTTTCCAAACCAATCTTCATAGGGAAGATGTTTTTCTTTCGCATCGTAGATTAGGACATCCTAGTTTTATGTACTTAAAGAAATTGTTTCCCAGTTTGATTAATAAAAATTCAGTTCCATTTCTATGTGAAGCTTGTCAACTATCAAAACACACCCGTATCCACCCCAACCATACAAAGCATCACACCGATTCTATTAATTCATAGTGATGTTTGGGGACCATATAGAATAAAGAATTTGTCTGGAACTAGATGGTTTGTCACGTTCACTAATGATCACACCCGTGTCACTTGGATATATCTCATGAAAAACAAATCCGAAGTGAGAAATATATTCCAAAGAAAACGGGATCATTCACCTCAGCTCGTGTGTTGGCACTCCACAACAAAATGGAGTTGCCGAGAGGAAAAACAGACATATCCTAGAAGTTGCCCGCTCGCTTATCTTTATGGCAAATGTCCCACCTATATTCTGGGGAGATGCCATATTATCATCGGCATATCTAGTAAACCACATGCCATGTAGAGTAGTAAACTATCACACACCTCTTCAAACATTGATGCTCACTTATCCCCACATCCGTTTCCTATCAAATATTGCTCTTAAAGTATTCGGATGCACAGCCTTTCTTCATGTACCACCACAAAACCGTAGCAAACTTGATCCCAAATCTCTTAAATGTATCTTTCTGGGTTATTCTAGTTGTCAAAAAGGATATAAGTGTTACTCGCCTTCCACAGAAAAGGTATATAACTCTATGGATGTCACGTTTCTTGAAAGCCAACCATTTTTCACCGAATCTGAGATTCAGGGGGGGAATATTCCCGGAGAATATCATATTCGGTCACAAATTTTACCTTAGAGTCACTCTAATCCACTGCAAACCACTCTTGACCATCCAGATTCTGTTTTTCCAACGTCTTCCTTCTCTCCTAACACCCAACAACCTATTGAAACACCTAATCCACCAAGCCAGAAAAAAACCTTGGTATACTCAAGATGACAGAAAGGTAAGGAGAGAAGAGATTGGTATCACACACAGGGAGGAGACTGATCTGAGATTTGAGGATGAAATACCAGGAGGTATGAGTCCTACTCACGCTGCAGCCGATAACACAAATAATGATGTTGGAGAAGATTCTTCAGATGATCTCGTGAATGAGTCTGATGATCTGGATATACCATTGCTCTAAGGAAAGGGAAAAGGTCATGCACAGCTCATCCAATCAGCAACTTTATGACTCATAAAGGCCTGTTAGCTACTCATAGTGCCCTTATAACATCGCTAGACTCGATAATGATTCCAAAAGATATACAAGATGCTCTAAATCATCCCGAATGGAAGTCTGCTGTCAACGAGGAACTAAAGGCACTTGAAAAGAACAACACATGGGAATATTCGACATTGCCTCTCGGTAAGAAAACTGTGGGGTGCAAGTGGGTGTTCACAGTGAAGTATAATGCAGATGGAGCCATAAATTGGTTCAAAGCAAGGTTGGTGGCCAAGGGGTTTACCGAATCATATGGAGTCGATTACGGGGAAACATTTGAACCCATAGACAAACTTAATTCAATTTGAGTCTTACTCTCACTTGCAGCTAACCTAGATTGGCCATTGCACCAACACGACATCAAGAATGCGTTCCTTAACAGGTAACTTGAAGAGAAGGTGTACATGGATATGCCACCCGGAATCAACTTAAAGGACTCATTTGGTAAGGTATGTAGACTAAAGAAATCCCTTTATGGGCTAAAACAATCACCAAGGGCATGGTTTGCAAGACTGACACAAGTCGTGAAAAACTTGGGTTTACTCAGTGTCACACCCTGTTCTTCAAGGATTCTTTGACCGGAGCAAGAGCTATAATGATAGTTTATGTAGATGCTATCATCTTAACAAGCGATTATTCCAAGGAAATACACCATCTTAAGGATATCCTTGCACAAGAATTTGAAGTAAAAGACCTAGGAAGAATAAAATACTTCCTAGGCATGGAGGTGGCAAGATCTCGCAAAGGTATTTTCGTAACTCAAAGAAAATATACTATTGATCTATTGAAGGAAACAGGAATGTTGGGATGTAAGCCGGCTACAACCCCAATGGATCCATTGGGAAAACATCAAGTAAGGATGGAAAGACAACTGATAAAGGTAGCTATCAAAGATGGGTTGGAAAACTAATATACTTGGCCCATACGAGACCAGACATAAGTTTTTTTTGTGGGAATGGTAAGTCGGTACATGAATCAAGCTACAGAAGACCATCATGAGGCAGTATTTCGTATTCTGCGATATCTAAAGCAAAGTCCAGGGAATGGACTATTCATTAGAAAAACAAACGATGGGCAACTACAAGTGTACACAGATGCAGATTGGGGGGGCTCACACATGGACGGAAGGTCTACTACCGGATATTGCACATATGAATGGGGTAACCTAGTAACTGAGAGAAGCAAAAAAGCAAGTTGTTGTCTCTCGAAGTAGTGCAGAGGCAGAGTTTAGAGCAATGTGTCATGGAATTTGTAAAGGCATTTGGTTGAAACCGATGCTAACCGCGCTAAGACTTACTCCTAATCCAATGGAGCTGCGTTGTGACAACAAGGTGGCAATTGAGATTGCAAAAAATCTTGTACATCACGAAAGAACCAAGCATGTGGAGCTGGATCGACACTTCATTAAAGAGAAGTTAGAGGAAGGTGAGCTTCAGCTGGAAGTCGTACCATCAAAGCAAACTTCGGACATTCTTACCAAGGCACTGCCAAGACAGTTTTTTGAAGAGTTACGATCCAAGCTAGTTATGACTGACATACATAACCCAGCTTGAGGGGGAGTGTTGAATCCTAATCTGGCCAGCTGGTGCATTCGGTGGTTACATTCTTGTGATTATCTAGTTGTTGGAGATAGTTTAGAAGTAGTTTAGTTGTTCCTATTTTCGTGGAAGTTAGTTCAGTATATATTTCTGCTTTCTGTATTTGCAGAGATAATAGAAAAAGAGGAGAAATCAAGAACTATGATTTCTGCTAATTTTACTCTGATTAAAAACATAATTTTACTCTCAAGAACTATGATTTCTGCTATTTCGTGGAGGTAAAATTGTATCCGGCAGGTCGGACCAGTGATGAGAATCGAAATCTTTAGAATAGCTATCGAATGAAGTAAGAACACATTGAGAGGAAGGAAATGATTTAATTGAAATCAGAAATCAAAAATTACAGTCATAACTCCAGGGATAATCCCTCTCTCACAATCAACAAGATTGGAGCCCAAGACAATGGAAAGCAGAAAATAACAGAATGCGTAAAAAGGAAAACCTCCTTCCTCTTTTATTCTCTTTCTTCTAACAACCTTCAGCCACTTTTGTCATTTACGCTTTTGCCCCTTCTAGAATATACGTGTAATATCCTAGGTTTGTTAACTTCATCTTTAGATAATTCCAATTCCGTATCAAAACACAACTAAAATCAAGAACAATATCTCATCCAAATCTTGATTTGGTTTTGCTTCGATGGAGTGGAAGGGGGTTAATTAAAACCCAACGATGTTGAGAAGAGGTGGAGAGGTGGAGGCTAGGGGTGTACACGGATTGGGTTGGGCGGTTTGCTGCATTTATAAACCCAACCCAATTTTGGAAAAATCTCAACCCAACTCATTCAAAAGTAAAACCCAAACCAACCGGCAGGTTAAGCTAGGTTGTCAGGTTAGTAGTGTACATAAATTTGACGAATGAAATATGATAAATATTACTGAAAACATACCCAACGAAGTTGTTACAATCATCCAAATATATATTTCATTCTTGAAGTCCTTGAATCAAACTTCAAAAGTTTGAATGATAGATAATTCTTCAAATCATCAATCAAAAAGGTCTTTGGGGATGTCAACGGGAATCTTGCATTGGAAAATGTCCCGGGTTAAACAAAACCACAAGAGTTCCATGAGCTAAAGGTCGACGGGAGACGAAAAATACCTGGATTAATCAAAAGGTCAATGGTGAAGGGGGTGTGGAGAAGTATTGGAGTCGGCAATGTTCAGAGATATACCGGAGTTTTGAGCTCTCATCGGAGTCGTCATGAAGTTGCTGGAGTTTTGGAAGGGGCGTTGAAAATGAGAGTGAGGGTGTCACTTGGTAGTTGTGTTAGGTTTTCTTTTTTTGTTCTTTTTCTTAATTTTGTTACACTTGCACATTAGCATTAAAGACTTGTACACTTAATCTTTGCTGACATGGACTTTAAAAAAATGTTATGTCATATAAACTTGTGCTACCTAAGCTAATAACTTGTTTAAAAGGTAAAATATGTACAAGATAGGAGAAAATGGAAGTCCGATACATTGATTGAGAAAAAAAGAGTTTGTTACACTAAAATGGGCTAATTTTGTTGTAGATTATTGAACTACTTTTTTATGGGCCTATGGAAGTATCATGTATGTCTCTCAGCTAAATCTTTTGAGTGGTCAAACTTTATTTTTTTGGGGGTGAAAACAGATATATATATATATACACACACACGCGCACATATATAGACAAAGGATCGTGTGAGAATAGGAGTTAACATGAGAAGTGTAAGAAGGGATTTGGACCCTTGATCACTTTTAATTAGTGTTGATCTAATGGTTCAGATTAAGTCCCAAGATAACCCATGAATTAGCTTAGAAGGGTATTTTCAATTGATCTTCAATGACTGATCCAAGGGTGGAGATCCCTTCTTACGCTTCTCATGATAACTACTATTCTTACCAGAAACCAACTCTCTCTCTATATATGTATAACGAAATTTATAGTATAAAATAATTTTGGTGAAATTTTACAAAGCACAAGTCTGCCCCTGATCTCAAGGAAATACCCGAGACAAGAAAAAAAAAGATCAAGCTTTTTTCCAAGGAAATACTCAATCCAGCATTTTTCCCAGAACATTTGACCAATGAGACAAGAAAAAAAAGATGCATTACCACATTTGTCGAATCATATTTCCCTCCAAGACCAACTTCAATAATAGCAACATCCACCTGCGACGATAAATGCACACAGTATGCCGTCTGATAAGAAACATTTCCGTGTAATGGGCGTTAATAAAATATATGTTCTATTTTCAAATATATGAATTTTTGGAAATATTTGTCAAACTCTAGGGTAGCTAAAGAATCTGCTATTAGGAGAAGTAAATGGGCCACGTCTGCATGTAGTGCCTTTCAATTAAGCTCTTGTAAACTAGACATTATAGCATCCTGAATTCACATACGGTCTATCCTAGTCATCAAAGTGAACTTGAATACAACTGTTATACAAGTTAACAACTAAAACTAGAAACTATTGGCCTTTGGCCAAATGGTATCAATAGATATCTACAACCCTTAGGTTGTGAGTTCAAGTCTCTATAAAACATCAGTTTATAGGCCGTTTCAGAAAAAAGAACAACTGACATTTGAACTTCAATAAAAATTTAGAGAAGCAACAATATACCTTTTCAGATACAAATATCTTCAACCCCAATAGAGTAAGGAACTGAAAGAGTGGAGGCATTGGCAGGTCCTCTGTGACTTTATCCTGCCGATTTACATATCCAGGACAACAAAATTTTCATGAGACCATGGATATAATATGCAGCATTGAGGTTCACAAGACCTTTAACTTCCATACTTTGGGCGATATTTTACTTCATGAATAAAAACTGCCAGTAATTGATCAAATAAGATCCGACCATTTGTCTATAGTTCATTATGCCATATATTACTTAAATGACAAATTTAAACTCTAGACACAATATCTTCTGGAGAGGAACAGACTTGTAACTGGATAAAGTCAAAAGTGAACCAACACTGGGATCTGACTTATAATTGGTGTTGCCCCACCTCCAATGAGATGTTTTAAGCATGACGTAGTTTATCCTACTCTAAAATCCAGCTCTCACGACGTTCTAAACCCAACTCACTAGGTTAAGGATTATGCAAGAAGAGACATAACTTATACAAGTCTTATGACATGTTAGACTAAGTTAAATAACCTTATTGTTGAGGGTATTAAAGTGTAACTGCTTAGGGTATTAAAGTGTAATTATCTGTCCTATATATAGGGCACGTATCTGTCTTTTAAACATACAATAAAATCAATAAATTCAAGGTTTGATTTGGTATCAGAGCTAATCAAATCCCTTCTTTTTCTGGCTTCAATTCAGCCGACAAAACCTCCAGCCTGACCGACGTAACTTCCGGCGGCACCATTCCCAACCTCCGACGACCTTTAGACAGCCGACGCAACCCCTGGCAACTCCTCCAACTGTCACAAACCTCCAGCGGCATTCTTCCAGCCGTCACCTCTTCCAAGCTACTATGGCCGCAATCATAACTCTCACTAATCAAGAGAAAACAACCCATAATTCTCACAAGTTTGCCTTCACCCTAAAACCCACAAACTAAGGCTATTGGCGATCAATGGTCGAATCTTTTCTTACCTCTCACAATCTTTTTGGCTACATTGATGGCACTATTCCCTGTCCAGAACCGAAGGTTACAAACGGATCTGCTACAACTGACAATCCAAGCTACCAACCATGGGTCTCCAACGACGCTCACATCCGTATGCTCATCATCTCTACTGTGTCAGAAGAGTCCTTTCAACATATTCAGRGCAAAACATCTCGAGAGATATGGCTGTCTTTAGAACGAGCGTATGCTCCGGTTACTTCATCCCATGAATTTACTCTTAAAAATCAATTACTTCGAATCACCATGAAGGGTGATGAAAAACCTGCCGAATACCTCAGTAGAGCACAAGAATATGCAACTGCTCTAGCCAATATAGGCGAACCAATGAAACACAAAGATCTGGTTATGCTAACCCTAGCAGGGCTTTGTGAAGAATACAATGGTCTCAAAGCAAACCTCTTGGCTCGCTCCCCTCCTGTCAACTTCAATGAATTGCATGATTTATTAAGTGACCATGATTATATGATTACAAGGATCTTGGCAACAAATCCGCAAGTTCCCCAGGCTCTCTTTGCGACTGCCTCTCCTGCTCAGCAGCCTCTTACGGCTGCCTCTACACCACTACAGCAGCCCAATTTCGACTCCATTCAACAACAACTTCATAATCTTCAACTCATGGCTTCCCAATTGGGATATCAACTGAACCCTGCAACTTCATCACGACCACAGGCTTATTTTGGATCCCAGTCTTTCAATAACCGTGGTGGTTGCGGTTCTCGTGGATCTTCATGTGGTAACTCACGACCTGCTTTCAACTCTCGTAATCGTGATAGTAATGGCACACGTCAATTCTCTTGGGCTTCTACTCAAAACCTGGTGTATGGTCATTGTAATTGCTGTGGAATTGGTCACCTACCCTCTCAGTGTCCTAACCAGCCTAACCAATCCCGTGCAGCGCCACAGGCCAACTATGCTACTTACTCCGATGCTGGTTCGTAATCAGGATCTACTTGGAAGCCCGACACTAGCGCAAATCACCATGCCACTCCAGATCTATCTAGCCTTGACAACTCCGAGGCCTACTTTGGTAACGATTCTTTACTTGTTGGTAACAGTAACTCTATACCCATCTTTCACATTGGCTCCTCAAAACTTTACTGCCCCTAACAAAACCTTTAAATTATCCAATATACTTCATGTCCCTGAACTAAAACAAAACCTATTATCCGTTCAAAAATTTTGTGTCGATAATCATGTTTTCTTTGAATTTCACTCATCTTATTTTGTTGTGAAGGGCGAGTCTACACGCACTATCCTCCCAACGGTCCCCAGTGAACAAGGGCTGTACTCCATCCGTCTTCCTACACTCAAGTCTTTACCTAAAGTTGCATTTACTGCTGTCAAAGCCTCCTCGAACATTTGGCATCAACGCTTGGGTCATCCTCATGCTCAAGTTTTTCGTTCAATTATTTCTCATTGTTCTTTACCTGTTTCGGACAAATTATCAAATAACTTGTGTTCTGCTTGTCAACTAGGAAAATCCTCCAAACTTTCTTTATCCGATTCAAATTTTCATAGCAATAATCTTTTGGATCTTGTTTATTATGATGTTTGGGGCCATTCGCATACACCATCCTTTGATGGTCATCGTTTCTTTTTGTTATGTGTTGATCATCACTCTAGATATATGTGGTTTTACCCTTTAATTCAGAAATCTGATGTTTATACAGTCTTAACAAACTTTATTAAAATGGTTGAATGCCAATTTAACACCAAGTTAAAGTGTATTCAGTCCGATTGGGGGGGAGAGTTTCGACCTCTAACTACCTTCTGCCACAACCTTGGCATAATTCATCGCCGTTCTTGTCCCCATACATGCGAACAAAATGGCATTGTAGAACGTCGTCATCGTCATGTGGTCGAAACTGGACTCACTCCTAGCCCAATCCAGTCTTCCTCAACGCTTCTGGCATTTTGCTTTTCAAACCGCCGTATACTTAATAAATCGACACCCCTCTCGTGTCTCCTCCAACAAATCTCCCTATGAACATGTTTTCAAACGCAAACCTGATTACTCCTTTCTTCGAGTCTTTGGATGTCAATGTTTCCCTATCTTCGTCCGTATAACCATCACAAGATTGATTTTCGCTCCACTCCGTGTGCCTTCCTTGGCTACAGTCCTGTTCACCATGGTTATCGGTGCCTTGATCCTTCCACTGAACGGATATACATAGCCAGACATGTTCGTTTCAATGAGCATGTTTTTCCCTATCAACCACCTACTTCTACCCACTCCATCCCAACCCGACTCTTCATACATATCTATTTTCCCTACCCCACCACCCGGTTTTCCAACCGAACCCAACTCACCACCACCACCACCTTCCATACCACCTCCACAACCCGAAACAACCCCACCACCATCTCCACAACTCGATACAACCCCACCAACCTCACCCTCCCAAACCCCTAACCCCGGGTCCTCACCAGACCCGAATCCCGCCCCCACTCACTCACTTCCAGCCCCTCGGCCTCGGCCTCCTAACCTTCGTCCCAACCCTAAACCCACCACCCGATACGCTGCCTACACTGCTACCACTACCCCTACCTTACCTATTGAACCTACCTCATTTACCGTTGCCAACAAGTCCCTAGAATGGCGCCAAGCAATGGCTGAAGAGTTGACTGCGCTTCATCGAAATGGCACGTGGACATTAGTTCCCCCTGTTCCTAATACTAACGTGGTTGATTGTAAATGGGTTTACAGGTTGAAAACAGATGCGAATGGAAAGATTAGCAGGTACAAGGCCTGGCTTGTTGCCAAGGCCTTCCATCAACAACATGGAATTGACTATCACGAGACTTTCAGCCCAGTAATCAAACCTGCTACTATCAGAACCGTGTTATCACTGGCCGTCACAAATAAATGGTCTCTACGTCAGTTAGATATCCAGACTGCATTTTTACATGGAGATCTTCAAGAGACCGTTTACATGCGCCAACCTCTTGGTTTTGTTGATCCTAACAGGCCAGATCATGTGTGCTTACTGAACAAGTCGTTATATGGGCTCAAACAAGCTCCTCGTGCCTGGTTCACAAAATTGTCTACTGCTCTTCAACAGCTGGGGTTTTGTGGGTCTAAAACTGACCCTTCTCTCTTCATTCTCAACTCTGATGACACGCTCGTTTATCTTCTTGTATATGTCGATGACATTATCATCACCGGTAACAACCCAGCTGCCGTAACTACCATCATTAATCGTCTCAACTCTCTATTTGTTCTTAAAGATCTGGGCCAACTGCATTATTTCTTGGGCATTGAAGTGGTACACCATGGTTCTGATTTACTTTTGTCTCAACGAAAATATATTCTTGATATTCTTCACCGAGCTGGTCTTGCGGATTGCAAACCTATTTCATCTCCTACGAGTACCTCTCAAGTACTCTTACTCGATGACAGTCCCTTACTTGATGATCCCTCTCGGTTTCGGCAAACAGTCGGGGCCCTCCAGTATGTCACTTTATCTCGTCCAGATATTGCCTTCGCAGTTAGCAAGGTGTGTCAGTTCATGAATGCTCCGACTGAAAATCATAGGGCTGGTGTCAAACGAATCCTGCGTTATCTAAAGGGCACGATCAACCTCGGTCTATTGTTTCGTTACAACACGGGGTCTCGACTTCAAGCCTTTTCAGACTCTCACTTGGACACTAATCTTAGAGCCTTCTCAGACTCCGACTGGGCAGGCTGCCCTATCGATCGTCGATCCACGGGGGGATATGCTATCTATTTGGGTTCAAACCATATTTCATGGTCTGCTCGCAAACAACAAACTGTCTCTCGATCTTCAACCGAGTCTGAATACAAGGCTATTGCTGACACTGTAGCAGAACTGATTTGGTTAAAGTCCCTTCTTCATGAACTCGGTTTGATTTGCAAGGCACCCACACTTTGGTGTGATAATCTTGACGCAACTTATCTTTCTACAAATCCAGTCTTTCATGCCCGCACAAAGCACGTTGAAGTCGATTATCACTTTGTTCGTGAACAAGTTGCTCAAGGAAAATTGAATGTCAAGTTTATCTCCACTGATGACCAGATTGCTGATGTTTTTACAAAGCCCTTGTCTTCACAAAGATTTGAGTTTCTACGGTCCAAGTTGCAGGTCGYTCCCCGCCCTCAACTTGCRRGGGAATGTTAGACTAAGTTAAATAACCTTATTGTTGAGGGTAATAAAGTGTAACTACTTAGGGTATTAAAGTGTAATTATATGTCCTATATATAGGGCACGTATTATGTCTTTTAAACATACAATAAAATCAATAAATTCAAGGTTTGATTTGACAGCAACAGTTATGAACACAGATAATTAACCTAGCCACACCCACACTCTTGCATCAAGCATGACTGTATTTACCTAATCCACTCATAATCCCTTCTCACTATGATCCAGGTCATTAGAACCAGTTGTGTTTTGTCACACACCAAAATGAACTTTAAGAAGCAATTAACAATAGAGGAATGAAGCAACAAAGGAATGTGGTTTACCATTTTCAGAATCTTCTGTTAAATATACACGGTATATATGCATCCGTACTTGAGAAGGAAGGATATTTTTATTGATCATGTGAATGAGGTTGTCTACTGTACTCCATTTTACTTGGACTTTTTTTGGCAAATGAGATAGGAAACTAAAAAAGAATATCGAAGGGGAACGTCATGAAAATTTATCAACCACTTTATGAATATTGAGTGCCTTAAGGCCTAGTGCGAACCATTGGACAATTTCTTAGTGCAACCGCCCTTAGCTCATAAGAATAGAGTGAGGAGAGCTTGTACAGGCTAAACATACCCACCAACTGAATTTTAAAATTTAAGGAAGATCAAAGGGAAAGGCTCTTGAATTTTTATGTAACAAAGGGGTAACACACACGCATGCACGTGCATGCATACATACACAATACATAGATTGCATAAGAGATCTAGAGTGAGGCATGAAATTACTTCAACATACCTCATGCCCCAATAATAGGATCAAGACTACCCCAATAAACTGCATATTACAAACTAAAGAAACCAATCACCCATACTCAGACCACAAACGCTAATGGTAATATTAAGCAAACGAGTATAAACAAAGATGCACCAGAAAAATAGGCCTTCGCCGTTGCTAGATATGATATTGCTCTAATGCACAGACCCTTGATCATTAGAAAAGCAAATAAAGGGGTATTTCCACATCAAGGAAGATAGAGGTGAAAATACTAGTTCTACAAACGAGATAATACCTTCAACTGGCTCCAACAATCCCAAAAATATAACAGAAATTGCCCTTCGGATATTTCCAACCTAAACAGGTGTATATAGAAGAAAACTTTTAGAAGGAAAAACCTCGAATTAACATGAAAAATGATCACTTAACACATCTACCTGCAGGAGGATACGAGACTGATCTTTGCTTGTACTCCATCACATATTAGATATTTAGATTCCACTTCCATTTTCAAAATTCAAACTCATTCCTAACCAATGAAAAGAATAATGTAGTTTTTTTTAATAAAGAAGACGAATATAGTTGGTTTTAGATATTTCTAGTTTCCAATGTTTTCTGTTGCAAATGGATCTTCATATTTTCATAGTCATCCTTTCACAAAATACTCTACCCACAAGAAAGGCATGAGGGATTCTCTTAATTGTCATATTTGATTATTTATTAACGATATTAATCTATATTTTAGTGCAAGCACATAATTGTAGAACTCATTAAATCATTTCCTTTCCTGAGTTCAACCAAGCCCCTTAACTAATAGATGGAAAGCAAAATATCAGAAGTGCAAAATCATTTTAATAGGTAGATGTTTGTAAAAAGAATGAAACAATAGAACACATCTAGATGCATACCCATTGAGACGGAACCTTTCTCTCACATCAATTAGATGAGGAGAAGTAAAGAGGCCAGTTCTAAAACCACACTCCCGTAAGATTGCTTCACAAAATGTGCATGTTGATCCCTGAAAAATGAATTCTATCAGAAGGAACGAAAAAATAGTGTGCATTATGATTCCTGATAATCTGATATATGAACTTTACATGAAGAAACGATAAAATAGTGTCCAAAACATATTGCATAACTGACAGTATCAGGTTCCGGGTTATTTTTGTTTGTGATTTCTCGGACAATCTGTTCATCATATACAAAATGTAGTTCAAAGTTTGCAGACTCTACATGTGTTTGTGTATACATGCATATACATAGGAGAGAATTCATGTGAGAACCGAAAATAATTTGAGAACCAGGGAACTGGTTTTATAGCATGTATTCATTGATAAATACACAATAAATTTCATCAAAAGAGATGTACATTGTTAATGTGTATATTCGTCAATGAATAAATACTATATATTCACTTGTATTTGTATTCGGTCAATTAGTATGTTCAACTACGAATATACACTAAAAAGAATAGTTCAAGATATTTGTGCCTCTCAATCTCTCTCTCTCTCTCTCTCTCTCTCTATATATATATATATATAGGGAGAGAGAGAGAGAGAGGGAGGTTCAGGGCAAAACCCCCTAAAAGATGAAAAACTAAGGAACACTCAGGTAACCATTCATCTGGACCATATGCACATGTGCATACAAGTAATTGAAGTCGTTTTTCGGTTTTCATGCACGTGAGCAAGTTATGCACTGCATAGCATCCAAATGAACAGTTACTAGGGTGTACCTCAGTTTTTCATTTTTTTGCGGTTTTCCCTTGAACCAGACCCTATATATATGTATGAATATATATATGTATGTATATATATATATATGTATGTATATATGTATGTATGTATATATATATATGTATGTATGTATATGTATATATACGTATGTATATATATAGATTTGGGATCATGTGAGACCAAGGGTTTTTCGTGAGACCCGTAAGACCAGTTCTCAACCCTTGGATTAGATCTACAATATGACAATCTAAACATTCATAAACGCCACGAGACTTCTCAATAATCACAAAATTGCCACCGTGCAACTTTAGACCATTAGATCATTAGCTTATAAAGTTGATCAATGAACATAAATTGGTCTTACGGGTCTCACGAAAAACCCTTGGTCTCACGTGAACCCAACCCTATATGTATATGT